TTTGGTTCGAGGGTCGGTGTTATTTACCACTACCACCTTCAGTAGCTCTTCCTTCAGGCCCTGTATGGCTGAGGCGATTTTCATTGCATCTGGTACCTTTCCAAGGTGTGTGGACCAAAGTTCAAAGTTGGCAAAATACTCGGCGGCCGTATCAGTCTGTCTTAACTCTTGCAATTTCCTCATAGCCGTACCTGCCATGTTACTATCTCCAAATTGAGTTCGTAAATGCTGAATGAATTTGTCGTAGCTCTCTAGCCATTCGGTCGAATTCCATATACTTGGATTGGTTATGGCCGGGGTTAGAAGCATTTGAGGGGTGCCTCGAAGATACCCGTACATGAACAGGATCTTCCTGCGATCGGTGGCGTACTCTGCCCCTTTGAACTCGAAGTTCATGTGACATGCTGCAAGGAAGTTGTCCAATTCTCCTCGTTCTCCACTGAAGGTAGGTGGATCCGCACACCTGGTTCTTCCTGTTCGTTCGTTGTTGGTAAGTTTTGGCTCCAAACACGGCTTGTTTTCTTCGACTTCGATCAAACTTGCCCCTTTCGATGTGAGTATCTGTTGGTTCTGTCGGTCAGCTTTCATCGTAGCCAGTTCTTCCCTTAATGCATTTTGTTCCTTTTGTTGCATCGTCATAATGGCTAACAATTGTGACAACTGCTGCGATAATTCATTTAGCGGATCTGGGGTAGTGGTAGTAGAAGTGAGATCATGTGAAATGGTACTTCTCGAAGAACTTGTTGGTATTTCTTCCTCTGGGACCCGCCCTTGTTCCAACTCCTCTTTTTCTGGTATCATTTTCCGCGCTTTCCCTCTGGTGAGCATACAGTACTCTCCGATTCGACCCAAGGTGCGTAAGGCTGATTCTTCAACTTGTAACGGTACTGGAAACACGACGACTAGGTCGCAGGTTGGGTCGAACTCGATGGAGGTCTCGTGGAAATCTAGGGGCTCTGGTGCTAATGGATCGTGTCTCCTCTGCAATCGATGTAGCCAAAGAATGATATTGAAGAATCAGCAAAGTTGGTACTTTGCTGATTGTACTATATACTGTCTACAGGTATCCGTGTCCTCCTCTCAGTTCCTACTGCAAGCGTCTATGTACATACTCGGACAGGTGAAAAACCGCTTTTGAGCAAACCCAGTGGGGAAATCTCGAAAAGGGAAAACCCGTCCCTACCTACTGCAGCACTGCCTCCAACTCCCGCCGTTCTCCTTCCTAATCCGTCGAACTCGATGGAGTTCTCTCGATTCGTTGTTACTCCGTAACAATGATGTCATGGTGACATCATGCTTCGGAATTGTTCACCGTAGATCTCAGTGACATCATACGTAGGCGTGAATCTCACCTAATAAAAGTGTAGACTTCACCGAGCAGAAACGTAAGGATTTCAAGATGTCGTTGGAAATCTCATTGGGAAATCATTCGTGCTGATGTCTATATAAGCCGGCCATATTTTGTAGTTTCCCCATCAATGGATCTCTTTTCCTTGTTCTAATATTACTGACTTTTACGGTTAGAACAGGGAATTCATCACTCAGTTGGTTTTAACCCAACACTCTCAGTCCCCTCAGTATCTAAGGTAAGGCGAGCCAGAGACTAACCCCTTCAGTACTCAAGGCAGTCCTTTGCTACCGCAGTCTACCCGCAGGCGTGACACGTTACATGAAGCCGCGTCCCCAAAAGGTTCGGTTGACAGGGACGAAGACTGCCTTGTCTTGGAGTCAGTGGTAGCGGAAGTGAGAGCCGAATCGGAGCGGCTCAGAGAAGAATTAGAGTCTTGTGCGAGGAAAGATGAAGTGTTGGAAAGTCAGAACAAAGAACTCCAGCGAGAGATGGAAGAAGTGCAGCGGCAGAAAGAGGATATGAAGCGTGAAAATGAAGACCTCAAGCGTAGAAATATAGAAATACAACGTCGGTGTGAGGTTGCAGAGAGGGGACGGGACCGGGCAGTGCGGGACAGAGATCCTGAAAAGAAGGAAAGAGAATTTATGCAATAGTACATGGATTTCGAAATCCATTAGAATCAACATGGCTGAACGTACAGGGTTGATTCCTTTTGAGACAGTCTCAGAATGCCTCTGAAAAGCCCTTAAATCAGTTCTGACAGCCCTGAGATCCCTTGGGCATGGGCAGTAACACACACCTGGTCTTATTCAAATTTGAATAGTACATGGATTTCGAAATCAATCAGAATCGACACGGCGGAACGTACAGGGTTGATTCCTTCTGAGACAGTCTCAGAATGGGCCAAAGTAGGTGCCTGAAGTGGACTGACAGCCCTGAGATCCCTCAGTCACAAGTGGTAACACGTACCTGCGCTTATTCAAATTTCAATAGTACATGGATTACGAAATCAATTAGAATAAATAATCAGATCCAGGCTGCTCCAGCTGAGACCCTATCTATGGCTGCTACTGCGTAGTGACAGCTCGCCCGAAGTTTTCAGGTGCGTGATCAAGGGTCTAGCTGTGACGGGACTTCCGGGCGCATGGTGAGGTAGACAAGCGAAAGAATGACAAACATGTATCCGTGTTCTGAACTTCAAGGGCTACTGACATTCGTTTTTCTATCAATGGCATCAGAGAGCTTGGAGCAAGACCACTGCAAGTTGACAGATCCCCTCTGATTGGGCTGACTCCCATCTATACCCAATCGTCCGAGTCTATCGCAAGCTACAAGAGAATCCTCAAATTACACCTCCCCCCTCTGAAATTTGACAGCCGCTGATTCCCACCACACCAACCAAGATAACCAGCCTCTCGGAATTGTATCAGATGATCCAGTGTGGTGAAATTACCCCCAGGAGTACTTTGAACAAGACACAGAGTGGATTGGAAGGGTAATGGCTGAGAAGATCCTGTGTTATGATCCTATCATAACACCTTAGTATACTGTACATAGTCTTAGTAAATCCTTGTAGCCAAGGGGAGTGCCACCAAAGAATCGCTTCCAAGAAGCACTTCTAAGAACCCAAATTGAACCACATCTTGAAAGGGGTTCAGCGAGCTACTCTTAGAACGGGTTGGACAAGTTGCTCTTAGAATGGGTTCTGGAAGCAAACACCTAGAACGGGTTTGGAGAACCTCATAGAACCGGTTCATGACCCAATCAAAGGTTCATTTGCCACCCAGACAGGGGGTTCTTTGGAGGAGGCCAAAAAGGATAAAAGCCAGCCTTTCTGGCCCTCTTTTCCCCAAGGATCAAATCATCGAATGTTACTTCACTTGACCTCAAACCATTGACTAGCTTACCTCATTTCCTCAAGAACCTTCCACAGCTTGCCGGAGCCATCCAAGTTGATTCACCACCTTTGACCAATACACAAGTAGTGACTACTTTATCCCTTGTAGTCACACCCCTTGTAAACCTTCACCGTGCAATCGTCTTATGTCAGCGAGGTCAACGTAAGACGGTTTGTGTCACGCCTCTCAAATAACTTCTGCCTGACGGACCGACGGTCAACGAACCTCGGCTAACTTTGTGCTTTGGGAGTTGATGTCTCACCCAAACAGGAGGGCACAGACCTTGATCTGATGGCAATTGCGCCATACTTTGGCCTAGTTACTATGGCCGGGCTTTTCACTGATGGCGCTGTATCTCGATTTTGGGTGTAGCTATCACTATCAATTTTCCACTATGGACAACAATCAAGGATCGCTGAAGAACTCCTCCTGGAGCCTCATCCAACCCCCTCACGTGTAGACATACTTTCACCGTACTTTGGCCTACATCCCCAAATCCCCAACTACCTTTTGCTCCCTTCAACTATGTTAGCCGATAGGTTCGGCCCAGGACGGCCAAACCGCCATTGAAAATTTCCCCTTCCGTCGAATATCCCTTTGGTCAACTTATCCACCTGAACTTTATTCAATCGTCTCTGGTTTCCTGCGTATGAGTGGAATGTGATAAGTATAGAGACATGTAGATTCGATGCATGCTCTTTTCCCCCTCTGTATTATCATCTAATAATAAGCAAACAAACTATCCTCGCTTAACTTTGCCGTACTTCTGATCCCATTGTCCCCTACTCCCCCAACTTCACCTAACTTCTCATAACTTTGCCGTTCTCATGCCCCTGATGCCCGTATCTCTCATTCTCCCAATGTACTTTGCTGTTGTTAGTCTTAGATGTCCTGATTTATGTGCAAATGAAGCGGGCTTTGCGCACAACACAAAATCTCTTCACGCACAACACTATCACGTCACCAGCCAATAGGCATGCATATCCGTTGTTAGGCGTGCATACCACATGAATCTGCAACAACCTCTCTTCCAAGCTCTCTGTCCTCTGGTCAAAGTGAGTGAGATGTGAAACTTCATACGTCCATGTTGTATGCATAAAATCAACAAGATTTTTTTAAAGACATGTGAAGCACTTCCTCCTCTACCTGTCACTAAAAATTTTAGACTGAAATGTGAAGAACTCACCAAGATACATGGATCCACCTGCCCCCCCCCCCCCCCTACTGTCCATTGAGTTCAGCTGTCTTGCGGCCTATACATCACAGGGGGAAATCCTGTCACATACCGCCATGCCTGGCATCTAGGACACTCCTTTCTGCAAAGGTTGAGCCCTTTCTGAGTCTGCCCTGAGCATACGGTGGTGGATACACGGGTGGACAAAAGGTAGGTTGAAAATCCTAATAATTTGGTACAGAAGGGTATGTAGGTGGCCTCTGGTACCAGTTAGATGGCCCAGGGGCTCCTGGGAGTAGGTGGGGAGTGTTCGAAGTGTACGACAAATACGATTACGATGATAGTAAAGAGTTGCATCGAAGACTAAGGATGGTATCGTATCTATGAACAGTTTCGAGTCGTAGTTACGTGGCATTACTAATCAACACTCCCCCTAATGACACTGACTCCTAACTAATAGATTCTAACAGACTAAAGAGGACCATATCGTAAACCTGGACGTATGGGATGAAAAGGCAGTATCACGAGCAAACCAGGAAATCTCGTGTGCACGGTACGAAATGGAGTCTACGGTGCTCTAAGCGCCGTAGTCGTAGTCGTAGTCGTAGTCGTAGTCAATGTTGAAGTCGTCAAAGTGAATATGGGACTGATTGACATGTGACTCGACAGGAATATGAGTGGTAATGCGAGAGTCGTCGTAAGCGTACGGTTCGAGTTTGGATTCAAGGTCCGCAAGTCGTGCGGCAAAGGAGAGGGGTACATTCTCAGAATTGGTGATGATTTCACAAACTTCTGCGAGTTTTCGACATGCGATACGTAGGTCTTCAACCATGGAGATTGTTGCGATTGTAGCGATCGTAGGAGTAATGATAGTAGGGGTAGCAACGGTCGAAGGAACAATCGAGGACGTGGAGTTCTTTGGGTGTTGTACGTTATACGCTTCAAGTCGAGATCGTGCTATCGCAAGTTCTTCATCACTACGATATACCGCAAAGATGTTTTTAGCAGGCCGAGTACGTAGGCCATCGGTTTTGACATCGTGATCGTGCATGTAACAGGCGCGACCATGTCGAGTACGCCTTGCACATTTACCAAGTACACCATCCAACATATAATAGCATGGTTGAGCTTCACGGATCGTACCATCGTATTGTAGTGCTGCCAAGCAATCATCGCAGGCGTCGTGTGTGTCCGCAAGGATACCTTGTTCGATAATACGCTGTGCGTTCGCGATACGAGGGTCGGTCATAGTGGATACCAGGTTGATAGAGGGAGGGAAGAGAGATAGTGATGCGATGTATGATACGGAATGAGGATAAGACGCGATATATGATACGAGTCGTACGAGTTGTATATGCGTGCAGTTCTTTTCATGCACCTCACGTGGTAGGATCTTTGTAAGAAAATCCGCGTCTTGCAATTTCGGATTGTACGTATCCGAGTTCCAATTCACCACTGTGTATCTTCTCACGGAGGTAATGATGTTGTACGTCTATATGCTTCTATCGAGCATGCGTACCAGGATTGTGTGCGAATCATATCGCACTTTGATTGTCGCAGTTGAGTTGTGTCGTAATCTGCTTGAAACCAAGTTCAGTCAATAGACTTCGAAGCCATACGGCTTCACGAGCAGCTTCTGCGGTTGCACTGTACTCCGCATCCATCGTAGACTGCGCGATCGTAGCTTGTCTTCGAGATTGCCATTGAATCGAATTATTACAGAACTGTCACGAAGTGACAAGTCAGTTTGGTTAGAGATGTGTTTGGGACGGGTATTTAACCAGCGACCGGCGGTTTGCAGTAACCGCCGGTTGATAAGCCTTTTAGCACAGTGGTTTAGACCACTGTCTCTGAAGGGCACTGTTAAATCGTCCCAATGCTGGTTAGTTGGTCTCGTGACAAGAACTTGAAGAGGTGGCCGGTCGCAGACTTTCGTGTTTCCGTACAACCAGTGTAATCCGCATCTACCCATCCTTCGAGTTGATACGGTTCTCCCCCAAGCGTGAGAACGTAGTCTTTCGTATGTATGAGGTACGACATTAAGCGCTTCGCGAGTGCGAGATGCGTTTCAGTTGGTGTGGCTGAGAATCGAGCTAGATATCGTGTCACATAGCATATATCAGGTCGTGTTGAACTTGCAATCCACATCAATGATCCAATGATCTTGAGATAGGGAGTCGTAGCTTCAAGCAGTGTCGAAGTGGCGTAGAGATCCTCTACATGTTGTGGGAGGGGAGTACTGTAGGCTCGAACCGCAACCGGGTTCTCCGCAGCTGCCCGTTTGATATACGCTGGTTGCGATAAGTGAATTGTACGGTTCGTACGATCACGAACTACCTTGAGCCCTAGTATCTGCTTCATCTCACCCATTTCTGTCATCGTCCACTTCGACTTGAGGAATCGCATGAGTCGTACAATCACACCTCAAGTTCGAGCTGCAATTACGAGGTCGTCCACATATGCAAGTACAATAATAGGACCATCTGAACCTTTAGATGCCTTGTAGTACATTCCCCAATCTGATTCAAGTTGTACAAATCTGTATGTCGCAAGCGCGTTACCGAGCTCGATCCACCAAACTTGTGCGGATTGCTTGAGACCATAGAGAGACTTGTATAATCGTAGTGTATTACAACCAGGGGCACGAGCCATACCTTCTGGGTACCTCATGTATATTTCTTCTTCAAGTACACCATTGAGATAAGCTCCTTCGGCATCTGCTTGATGTGTTACGAGATTGTACGATGCGGGGATCGTAAGTACAATTCGAAGACTGATCATACGACTGACTGGAGCGTAGGTCTCTTCGTAGTCGGTACCGGGTTGTTGCAAGAATCCCTTTGCTACAAGTCAAGCTTTGTACTTAAGGATCTTCCCATCTGCATCTTTCTTTATTGCGAATACCCATCTTGAATCAATAGCTTTACGACCTTGCGGAAGTGTAGTCTCCTTCCACGTATTCTTCGATTTGATGTTGTCGAGCTCTCGAGTCATTGCGGTTTTCCAATCCGTACTCTGCGGACTACAAAGTGCTTCGCCTGCGGTCTGCGGTACGATATCACTTCCTTCAATTGCTAGAATCATTGCGACTTCACTAGCAAGACCATAGTAAGATGCTTGAAGAGGGAACCAGGTCACTGCTGAGAGTGTACCTTGTACGTTCATACGATCCCGAAGTCGTTCACTTGTACGTGTTGGTTGCGGTACGACTCGTACTACTGGATCAGGTTGTTGAATCATAGTTGTAGTCGTGGTTGTAGGCTCCATAACAGGGGTATCTTCAATAGCTTTAGCAGGTGCTTCCGTAGGAGTCGTAACCGAAGGGATTACTTCCGAAGGGGTCTCTATGACTGATGTTCATTTGTGTACGGACTGCGGTGATACGGATCGTACGGGAGTTGTAGGACCGTGCGTAGGCAGTGGGCCAGGAAGGGGATCAGGAAGTGTTATGGGAGTGACTGTAGTGCTACGCCATTGAGTTCGGGTACGTATCGCGGTGAGATCTGATGTATGATACCTTTCTCTGTGTACCATTGTCGAGACTGCGATCCTGCGTATTCACTACCTCCATCCGTACGAAGGAATCGTACGGTTCCACCGAGTTGTCTTTCGATCTTTGCGACAAACTCCTTGAGATAGAATACGACATTCTGTCTATTCGGCGCGGTCACAACTCGATTCACCTTTGAGTAGTCATCGTACATCGTAATGATGTATGTCGCACCTTGCGCCGAAGGTCGTAGGGGTCCTGAGATATCCGAATGTACGATTTCACAATTACGAGTGCCGTGCGGACTGACATCCTTCTTCGGAAGTCGAGTGTTCTTCTGTTCTTGACAAACCGCGCAGCTATCCGTACGCCACGAGTCTGCCTTCAACTCATCCGCAGTGTATCGTAGCTCCCCCGCTTGTGCGAGCTCGATAATACGATTACGACCTATATGACCAAGTCGATTGTGTTCAGTTTGTAGTGGTCCAATACGAGTTGTCGAATTGATCGTACCCGTAGTCTTGGGTACGAGCTGCCCCAGTTGTACATATGGGAGGACACCGTGTTCTCGTATCGTAACAATCTCCTTTCCTTTACGAAGTTCGCCCTTTACGAAGTCTACATCCCACCCACGAGCTTTGAGAGTACCTGCGGATAGGATGTTCTGTCGTGCGACGTTCGTACGGTATACGTCCGCGATCCGTACGGTTTGACCAGAGGGGAGTCGTAGTAGAATGTCTCCCTTTTCATATACATGAACCTTGGTCGTAGTATCCGCAAGACCAAACGTGATAGCTGTGTCGAGTCGTACGATGTTTGAGAGAATCGTACGATCAGGTGTGAGATGGTGGGTAGCTCCACTGTCAAGGAGGAATTCGGGTACGAGCTTCGAGCCTACGTACTGTACGGTTGGCTCGGTAAGGCTGATAGCTGAAGCCCAGAAGGGATCAATCGTAGGCTTCGCATTGTCCATGGGTGTCGAAGTCGTATTTGTTTGTGCGGTATTGACTTGTGGCTTCGACCCCTTCGACTTCCCCTTTGATCCCTTTGATTTCCCTTTCTGTTCATCCCTAATCCTCTTCCTACATTCCTTTTTAAGATGTCCCTTCTTATGACAATAGTGACACTCTGCTGTCTTAATCCAATCCGCATTCGCATGCGTATCCGTATGCGAATGTGCATGATCCGCACTTGTATTATTGATCTGAGCAGACATTGTAGGAGTAATGAGTCGTGCGCGATCTGCGACTTCGACTTGATACAAGCGTCGAAGTTCGGCCCACGTCTTTGAAGTCGTAGGGAGATTAATGTATAGAGATCGCATGACTTTGAAGTCGCTTCGAGGAAGCGAATCGAGGAACCAGAGCGCACGAGTATCGGCTGAGAACTTGCATCCTGACTCTTCAGCTTCAAGCCAGAGTAGGTTAAACTTCTGTAGGTGTTGGGTCATCTCCGTATCCGTAGGGTTCGACTTGAGCATAAGCATTCGTAGCTTGCGTTCGACATCCGTACGATGTTCGGGTGTTTGTAGTTGCATATCTGTTGCAAGGAATTTCCACATATCGTATGCGGTTCGAAGAGATCGTAGATCAATGAGCAAACCGCGTTCGACTTTACTCATGATCGCACCTTGAGCTCGAAGTTCGCGTTTACGCCACGATTCCCAGCGCTCTTCATCATCTGAATCAAGTGAGGTGTGGGTGATAGTCTCCTCAGCTGTAGGTACGACTGAGCCTGCTCGAACCGTACGAGCGATCGTAGGTTGACGGTACGGTTCGACATCCGTACCTTTGATTATCCCAAGACATCCATGGATAAGGAGATAGTTTTCCATGGCAAGTTTCCAATCGAAGTAGTTGCTTTGACTCGATAGTACGGGTACGGATTCGAGACCGATTGTAGTCGAACTGGATTTTATACGTCTACGAGGCGACGTCTACTGTCGTCACTCAACCCTCCAGATCGCCCGCTTCGGAACGCCAACCATTCGACAAGGCATCCGTCTCTGCTGGGGGGGCAGACACAAGTGCAGTCACTTGGATCACGACAAGGAGGAATGGTCTTGCGTTACTCTTTACACGTAAACTTGACTCTGAATATATATATCGGCAAAACAACAACGACAATAACAACAACAACAAGCATCATGTCAACGATAGAAGCAGCTACAACTCTCGTACATCTCTCCCGTCCTCTTCAACCTTGGGATGATGACGTTGACGTTGACATGGACGTTGGCACGATCAAGCTCAAAGGGAGGACAGCTCGCCAGGTCAGTTGTCACCTCTCCCATTCATCCACCCGATGACTCGAGCTAATGATCACAGGCTGAATGTCTAGCTCACCCAGATCTCTTCTTCCCTCTTACTCATCATCTTGCATGTCGTACTTGCCTCAAGCAGGGAACACCTTGTCTCATCTCTATCCCCCCTCCTGACCCAAACCCTCAAAACAGAAAAAGAATCAGGCCATCTCGTATGGATGCAATCTCCACCAAACCCGTCAACAAGGGAGGTAGACCGAAAGGCAAGATGGCATGTCAATTGTGTTTCGGAAAGTCATGTTCCATCGCGCTGGGTTATCGCCAAAGGAAAAAAGAGTGGTTCTCACTGGTCAGGCAATTGATCAAAAGATAGGCATGATGGGGTCAAGGCGACGGTAAACTCCAACTCTACCTTACCTTCAACAACTACCATACGATTGGTCGTACCTAGTTCATCTACCTCTCTCAATGCTCAAGCGGATCCGGATTCGATGCCAATTCAAGCGACTGGATCAGGACGAACAAGTTCCAAGAGGAAAAGATCAACAACCTCTTCTTCGACCAACTTACCTATTTCCTCCTCTCAAGATGACAACAACGTTCCTTCTCTTCTACAGATACCCACACCCACACCCATACCATCTCCATCTCACTATCACCACTCTCACTCTCTCAGTCCAACATCCCCAGTGTCAGTTCCAGTTCCAGTTCCCGTTCTAGCGACGAAACCCCCTTCAGCTCTCTCACTCGAACCTATCTCTCCTCAATTCCAGTACGTGATCAAACCGGGAGCTTTGAGACCCTATTCAATCAAATCCATCGTCTCTTCTGACTCTCACACATCGACAGGCGAATTCATTATGCGACATATCTCAAGGATCCCTTTCCTCTTACGAAGAATAAAGATCATCACCACTGGCGTCCTTGTCGTTCTTGGAGCTGGAAAGAGGGACAAGACGAAAGATGAATTCAAAGTACCCGAATACATGTTTGAGTGAGTATTTTTTATATTGAACATGTTTCTTTCTTTCTGTCTTCCACTCATCTCGTCACTTACCAACTTTCCTTCCTTCTTCATCTCACACGTCCAAACTACTACCTCCCCATCAATCCCCAAATCCCTTCCACTGGTGTTTGTCCTGAACCTCCCCAGCCCCACCGCCACCGTTGTCCGATTCTAGGATCTAGAACTTTATGGTCTGATGACTCTGGCTGACATTATAATCACAGACCTAGAGTATCATGTCATCGATGTAATCGTGATTCCAACCGATGTATCTGTTCGGATTTACCTCTACCCCCCGATCCATCATCCATGTTATCTCATGGGGCTGTCCTTCCTCATTGGAAATGTTCCAGTTGCAACTTCAGAAACGTCGAATGTACCTACGATTCCAAACTCATCGGTCTTGTCCCCTCTTCTCACTCGACGCCCTCTCACGAATTGTCTCACCCCACATCATCGGTCCAAGGCGATATCATCAGGATCTGTCCGGTGTTTTTCCCCACGCCATGTGTGATAGGAGATGGAAGAACATTCGCCGTCGTCAGTGGGGAAACCGAAGTGAAAGAAGGTGGGAGAAAAGATGGTAGTGGTTTATTGACTCGAGTGAGTCTAAACTTTCCCCCCTTGTCGTACCTACCTCTCTCTGTGTCAAAACAGGTTATTTTCTCTTCCATACCCATAAAGAAACGCCCCACCTCCCTTCTCCGCCAAACAAAAAGAAAGATTAAAAGAAAAAAAAAAAGAAAAAAACGCTTTCAAAATGATACAGAACTGATGTACCCAGAAAGATCTACCGAGTGTATTTGAACGTTTACGTCTTGAGCCTAATCATCCCGGCTTTAGATCATCACTCAAGTCTTTTTCACCGATGGCATGTCTCCTCTACCCCTCTCTCCCTCCCCCCCCCCCCCCTCCCCAATCAATCACCGCCCCAGACGATCTCACACACATCCGACAACACATCCGTCGACTATTCGAATTTACCTTGAGACCGACCAAAAAAAACCCATCCGCACAATTGAAACCGCCCAGCATGACTTTATTACTTCAGATCATATCCCTCTCCATCCAAACCACACAATACAAGGTCGTACCTTTCTCCATAGGAACGGTGAACGTTCCTCCTCGAGCAATGCACAACTGTCCACGACGGATCGGGACGAAAAATGACATGGTCATGTGTTTGGGGATTGTCGATTTAACTCTGTTTCCTCTCACCCGCACGGATTCACTTCAGTTTGTCGTCATGACCGATTTCCCAGATGCTCGACGATCGTTGGATATAATGGGAACGTATCAATTGGGAGTCTTGGGAGATTGGCTAGGGGTAGAGTACGGTTCGAAAGATTGGGGTCAAAGTTTGGAATTTGACATTTATCCAGAACCTCAAGGCTTGTTGAATGTGAGTTGTTTGGACGTATTCTCTTTTCTTTTATGTTCCCACTCCCATACTCTCATACCATGCCTTTCTTTGATTGGAGACAACTTGTCCATACCATTCTTTACCGAATCACCCATCATCCGTCGGACACAGGGAGGGGGGAATTACTTGTTCACCTTGAAAAGTTGATTGCAAAGAAATAAAATTGCATAAACATAAACACGGGACCGACGTGATTAGAATTGAGCCTTTTATCGTCATGTTACTTGAAAGATTACACCATTACCATCATCGTTATTAGGCTGATCATCTCTAGTCACCCGGCTCGGGTAAAAACGCTCTAGACTTGCTTTACACTCTCTTGATGCAACCTCCACAAACCATTTTCCCATTCCAGATCGATATCGAACGCGAACGCGAAAGCGCCGTCTCCCCGACGTCAACGTCGACTTTGAAGGATGATCATACTCCGTCTCGTCGGATCAGATTGGAATTGGAACAGATCACCACCACGCAGTTGGATGTATGGGCGAGAGAACGGGCTCAAGAGACGGAACGAGTCATCATCTCGGTCAGGGAACGTGATCGCGCGTCGGATATCTTGGGTTATATGAACATTATTTGAATCGTATGGTCGGTCGATCAACATTAGAGGATCATCGTCATGTTTGATCTCATCCTTTCTTTACCTCTTGTCATTCGACCTTTGGTGAGGGGGGAACAGAGCGCTCTACTTCCTTGGACGATCTACGATTCAACGAGCAACAGGGTAAAAAAAAGCCAGGTCGATCATCATCATCAACTGGTGATCCTAACTCATCCGAACAATGTTCGCCTCGACGATAAAGTAAGAGCGCTATGCTATCACCATCAACTGGCGATCCCAGCTCGAACCGACCTCATACGATCACCATGAATCGCGCGCCGGAGGCAATTGGATTCCGACGGACGGTACGTTCGAGGGTGAGGCGTACAGAAAGAGCGCTCTTTCTTGCTCTTTGTCCCTCGACAATGACCAATGATCAATGGGGGTGGGGTGAGTTACTTTTAACCTAGCATAGCGCTCTTACCACGATGAAGAGGATATAATCTTGGATGAATGGATCGGTTTCTTTCCCAAACCCGACTTCAAGAGTAGTCATTTTCTTGTTCGAACAACTGGTATCATTCATTCTCTATCATCTACATATACTCGCTTTACCCAACATCCACAGCCACAGCCTCACGTCGAGTCATGTTTGAACGGAAAGTAAGGGTGAGTTTGCTGCAAACTTTTAACCATGATGAAATCACTTTTTTTCCATCTTTCCCCTCCTTAGACAAGTCTTCGTCGTTGGTCGTTGGTCGTTAGTATGAAATGAAAGACATACAGAGTTGAGCTGATACTTTCAAAAACAGACTGATACACCTTTTCCTCATCAATCACAGGATCCGTTGATTCTCCAAAACCATCTCGTATGTCTTGGTCGGATTTCACAACCTCGGGCAATTCCAATATGCATTACGATTGTAATTCTACCAACGCGGTTATCACCAATACCAAAACGGGAATGAAATCAGATGAACCTTCTTGATGATCGATTTCATCAAAGAGCTTGAAGACTCCCACACTCTGGATCTACAGGTCGATATCAAACTCTTTAGAAACTGAAAATATGTACGGTAGACTTCCCAACCCATCTTCCTCAAAAGGGACAAGTGAACAAATAAATTCCATTCCAATGGTCTTCCACGTTCAACGGTGGTTGACTCGGAAAAAGAAGGCTGTACACGACTTAACAAGCCGAGAACCTTATTTGGTTTTCTGGTCTTAGACGTCCTTCATGGTTCGTCGTCAAGATCTACGATTTTGAATGATTTTCCTAATTTCTCATCCATCCGATCATCTAGAACTCTAGAACAAGGTTCATAAGATTCTAATCCGAGTTATGATGAATTGAAAACCCTTTCCTTTTCCGACTGTACGAAATATGGGTACACAAGTCTACGAGCTTTGGAACATGTGTGGAAAGAAATCAACGTTCTCAACGGTCCTCTCGGATTCGAACAGGGAAAGGTGGTAAATTACCAAAGTTGAATGGTGTTTGACAATCGAATGTCATGTCAAGCTTAAAGTCGAAATATACAACTAGAGCGGAAAACTCATCAAGCGAGTCAAGTTATCATCGGGTTATCCAATAATGTCCCAAATGTTGACACGAGAAACAACGCCAAGACTACGGATATGGCAAAAGGTATAAGTACTATAGAACCAAAGGTGTTGATGATGGTACAAGAATATTACGGGGAGGCTAATGTGTGAGTATGACGATGACGCTTTACTGAAAATGTATTTGTGAGTGTTTATCAGCATATCTACATCATCATCATTTTCCTTCTCCTCTTCCTCCTCCTCTCTCTCTCTCTCTCTCTCTTATTCCATTCCTATATCATCAGATCATTTCCTTCCCCTCAACACCTATGCTTTTCCTCTGTCCATCATTCACTTTTTTCCAAAATCATCGGTAGTCTCTACCATCAAGGTTCTTGTTGTGTCTTCCACACTGTATGCATGAACTCATAGTTGACACTCAAATAGTCAACCCGCTTTGGACACCCTTGACCGTATACACTCGGTGTGACGTTCTTCATTCCGACACCTATTACTACAGTCTGAAAAGGGATGTTTGATATGGTGTGATCTGGAAGATCCTCCTCACTTATCACATCATCAACCGACCATTATCAATACACTGCCTCCTACCGAACGTACCAATCCCCTAGATGTAGGTCCGCAACTTGGTTGCGAAACCAGACATTGGGATGAAATAAATCATCACTGTGATGATCCTGAGACGATCAAGCGGATGGAGCTGGGGCAGGAGCAGGCTAAGGAGGGAGAGGGGAAGAAGGGCATGTGAAAGAATTATTCATTTTCTCCGAGAGTGAGTGAGAAAGTCAGGTTGTCATAAACGGAGAGTTGGATTTGTGACATCTTTTTTTTTCTTTTACTTCTTCTTCAATGTCTACCTTCATCAAGATGTTCAAACGTCGTACCGATTTAATATATACCCAAGATGATGAGTTTGAGGCGGAGCAAAGTGAGGATGATCTCTCTTCTTTTGGAATGAAATGGGGCATGGGAGAAAGTCGTATAAGAGCAAAGTGGTCAGGGTAGTTTTGGGAATTGCAACATGGGGAAAAAAAAAAGTTTATACGTTAAAAGAGAGAAAAAAGTTAAATGATACACTACAGTATACCGAGTGAGTCGTCATTTCCAACCGTCATTGCCCTCTTCTCCGTGTCTTTTTGATTTTTTCCTATTCATTCACCTTACTCATCTGTCACTTTCAATTGTCTACCATACCGTGACGTCACACATTCCTTTCTTGAACATGTTGACGCTTGTAATTATCTACCGATTCGTCTCTCCCACTTTGTCAGAAATGACAGTCTCGTTCACCTGCTTTCGATTCGAAACATGTTTAGTTCATCATCTCTGGTATTTCCTATCACAAAACTATTGGTAACACCCAGAGATTCCACTACCAACAAGCCTCCTGTGGCCATCATCACACCATTTCTTTAGGACAATTAGGACCCCCCCCCCCCCCCGCCCCCCGGGGCGCGAACTGCCATCCACTCTGATCTCCATCGTTCTCATCGCACGGCCGGTGTTACCGGTCTCAGGGTCTCTCATGCTCCCCATTATGGATCTTTGACCGGTGGAAGTAACGACGAGCGACGTCAACCTCTGCAACTCTTCAACACGTTTGAAAGAGGAAACCAGGTGATTGAATATGTTCGGGAACGTCAGGACACGTATGAAGCCGAATACGTACAGGTTTCACATCAAGATTATCACAGTCAGTCTGTGAATCCTTTGTTTCTTTTCTTCTTTTTGCTCATAATACCGGGAAAACACCCTTCAACTTTCTATACCAGGATTTAAGATTGATAACATGACATTTCTTCTCATCGACTATCGACGTCTCTTTGCATGATATGTGACAGAGCTGACCTCTTCAGATCGATTTTTGAACCCTCTTGCCCTGTCACGAGACCGACTAACCAGCATTGGGACGATATAACAGTGCCCAATGGAACAGGGATCTAAACCACTGCGACAAAACGGCCTATTAACCGGCGGTTACTGCAAACCGCCCCGTCGCTGGTTAAATACCCGACCCATCCTAACACTATCCAGACTAACTTGTCACGTCCTTCGTGACATGCCCCCTAGGTCCCATTCCGACCGGAATGACGATTCGACATTGACACACGGGAGAAATCCAGGGGTGAGTATGTCACAGGCAGACCAAGGCGGTTTCCATATAAGCTTGTCCTTCAAGCGCAAAGGCAGAGGCAGAGACAGAAGCAAGAGTCCAAGATCTGTATCCCATTTCAACTCTACGTGACAGTCCCGACTACCATCTTGACGCTCGCGAATCCAATGCCTATGATACCGACCAGACCTTTTCAAAAGAAAAGTATGACAGGATGATCCGTGGGAACGCAAACGACGCGATGAAGGATGAGAATGACATGTCGAGGGATGAGAAGGACACGGTGAAAAGAGGTGAAAAAAGGTGACAAGAAGAAAGACGGTCAAGTGACACACGAAAAGGAATGGTCATCGAGATCATCCTCACTCTCTACCTTTCTCCAACATGATACCTTGACCCAAGTCGTGAAGATCTTACATTCCGTTTGTTCACTCGAACGGTCGTCCAATTCCGCCACCCCAACCACTCACGTCCACAGTTGGGACGGAACAGAAACTACATAAAGAAATTAACTATCACGATTGAAGAGAAAAGGAAGAGTTGATAGAACAAGTTGGGAGACTACTCGGGTGTGATCCAGACCGACTAAATGACTTGATCCTGATCAAAAGGAACGAGAACAAGGTGGACAAGGAAAGGGAAACGGAGATCGAGGCAGATATGAAGATGGTCAAAGGGGAATTTGTATGAGAGTTTGTTCCAAGTGAGTTTCAGTAGGGATCTTTTCCCTTGTCTCTCGTGCCTCTCTGTCTTTCTGCTGCTGCTTCTTCTTCTTCTTCTTCTTCTTCTTCTTCTTCTTCTTCTTCTTCTTCTTCTTCTTCTTCTTCTTCTTCTTCTTCTTCTTCTTCTTCTTCTTCTTTGACTTATTATTATTATCTTCAGCATCCTTGTCCGTATGCTGGTACTTGTGTTTCCTTCTTGTCCCCTTTTTCCGGTTTCATCTCTTGGTTTTTTCTCCTTGCTCTTGTCCACATTATTCTACTTGTTCACATTCCTTGTCCTCGTTCATCTTGTCCCGTATTCGTATCCTTCTCCTTGGCTCTCGTCCCTTGTCTTGTATCCTCATCTTGATTTCTTGCTTCACGTTTTGCCCCTTGTTTTTTCTTCTCATACTTTACGGCTTCTAGTCCCATGTTTGCCTTTACACAAAGTCTCTCGGTTCATCTTTGTTCTTATTTTACGTCCTTCGTTTCTCGTCTCTCGTTGCGGTACTATAAATGTCATGTCTTAAGTGAGCTGAAATCAAAAGCCCGGGTTCGAACTAGCTGACAAGGCACGTCATGTTCCGCCATAAAATCTCTCCGACGTTGTCCCTCCTACCTTTTTTCCAAAACCTCATAGGATTGATGCTCTTGACTTG